AACAGAAATACACGACCACCCAGCTCTCAGACTGGCCAGCTCTCCTTCCAACCGTACGTGCTCCGAACTGGGGGGAGAGGGCCAGGCCAGAGGCGGAGGGAGCGCTGAAGGAGGGGCAGCAGGGCCGGGAGGAAGACCCGACCCCTCCCCAGCCCCATTCCAGAGCACAGATAAAAGTGAAACCTGACCAGGGAGTGTTTGTGTTGCCACGGTAACGGGGACACTTCAGCAACTCGGAGCAGATGGTCAGTGAGCAACAGGCAGCATATGCTCCCGTAAGCCCTGCCGTGGGCACAGATGGAGGGTGGGCAGGGCGCTCGCCCTGGTACCCTGACATTTCCTTCCCTGCCCTCCCCTTGGTGCTGCGTCACGGACATTAGCGCCTGTGTGTGCAGCTGGGCTTCAGTTAGCCGAGTGGGACGCTGACGACCAGGGGCCCAGAGCCCAGTGGGCAGCCCTGCCAGCCCTGGGCTGTGCCTGCGGCTTTTACAGAAGCAGCACACTTCCCTGTGGGAAGGAGGAGAATTAAACGTCTCCTTCAGCGTCTTCAAGGACAGGGTGGGGCAGAGACAGGTCCTCGTGGGGACTTTGGGGACTCAAGGGCGGGAAGCATGTGGTCACGCTGCCTGGCCACCAGCCAGCGTGTGACCCTGCGATTCTGCGTCTTGTGCTGTTTGTAAATATTCACCGCATCTGGTCTGACCCCCTTCGTGGGAGGTTTAAGTATCAGCCTCCAGCCCGGCCGACGGGAGAAGACCCCTGCACACGCCACACCTTCCTCTGTCCCAGTTGCATCTGAACGTGTCCTGTGGCCCGTTAGGTCGGACACTCCCTCTTCCTCGGGCTGCCTGACTCAGAATGAGCCTTGTATGGACAGGACGAGAGTAAATTCCTATCTGGACCCTGGGGACAGAGTCTCCCACACAAATGTCACGTCAGTACGTCTGCCCACAGAACGGCTGCGTCAACCTACGTGGCTTCTCCGCTGTCCCCAGGCTCCCACACCTCCATCCACGCCTCCTCCAGGCTGTCCTGCGTTAGCTTTTGGCCATTTTGTTTCTGATGCTTTTTTTAATGCATTAAATTCTAACCCATATCTCTTCCCACTTTCCCTTTCCAGAGGTGCTGAAGTTGTCATTTCAGGGAAAACAACACAAAAACAGTTTTGTTGCCAATGATGAAATCTGAAATTTAAAGCAAAAATTAGAGTTGGGAGCCCTTGTGTGAGCCACAGCCGCTGGAGGGTGTCCTCAGGGAAGAGCTCTCAGACGGAGCTGCGGGCGACAGCAGCGAGTGTGAGTCTCGTATAAGGAAACATGCCAGCGTTTGGAAGACTGCAGAACTCAGAGAGCCAGTATTTTCCACATGACCAAGCAGGGTACACAACTGTGCACCCAGAGTGCAGGGCAGACCAATGCCTGTCACACACGCTGGGCCGGAGTTACTGAAGCGGTTTCAGATTCCACTGCAGTTGCCTTCAGAGAACTCCTGCCTGTGGAGTGTGGGATGGTTTCCAGGAAGCCTGTCCATCTCTGAAAAGGCACCAGAGGCCTCCTGCTCTCGAGCCATAGGCCTGGGGCCGGTCCTCCTTTTCTCTCAGACGAATGGCGCACTGCTGCAGACGGTCTGCTGTCCCTCCTAAAACCGGACACTAAATGGATTTGCAAAAGTGCAAAAGAACGCTGCTCTTCTCACTAATTTTTTGGGGGGAAATATGTTATTTTTAAATGAATTAATAAATACACATTTAAGGTTTTTTACCATTTTTAATTTTCAATGCAGTAACCTAGAGTCCTCAATAGTTTCTAGGTATAAAAGGGGTCTAAGACCAGTAAGAACGAGAACTGGTCCTAAGAGGATGAAAAGCACATTTTCTACGACTCTGTGTACTTGCTAGGGGCCACCAAAGCCTGGGAGTCTACTGTAGTGATCTGCGGCTCCTCCGTGAAAGAGAAATCCTTCATATCCAACATAACAAGGTGATTTTCCTGACGTCTGTCCACACAAGCTCAGAAACATTCAGTTTGACAATCAGCTCATTATAATGTGCTGTGAATGTTTCTATGAGGGCCAGGGACTGAACCTCGCTACATACCATCCGGGATTAAAACGATTTTAATCCAGCTTTAAGACTTGGAAAGGTCCAACTGTTAGAAGGAAATATGCTGAAACCCAGAATATCAGAAAAGAGCAAAGGAAGAGGAGGATTTCTAAGGGGGGGGAAAAAAAGAGCATGACTCTTTGGGAAAACCTTTTCAGAAAGAAAGAAAGTTCTGTAGCCTTAAATTGGCGACTCACGCTGAGTCATATGATCCCTTCAGCCACTGCGGTACTGTCTTCTCAGAAGTGCATTGCTCCGAGACCAACGCCAAAGATATTAGACAATTTCCTCCTTTCGAGCTGACTGCATCCCCCTCGCCCGGGCCTGCTGCCTGGGACAGGAAGGCTGGGGTGACACCAGATGTGTATCAGTGGCTCAGACTATTTCAATATCTCTTCACACGTGACAGGCTTTTATCTTGGTCTGGATCCGAAGTTAAGGGCTGTGGCTTGAACATTTGATTCAATAGACAGGCTGGTGGCTTAATTTAATCGAATTATCTGCTTTTCCTGAATTTTAACAGCTACATGGATCAAGAAAAGGGAGAGTATATCTCACGCCATTTTACACAAACTTATGAGTTAGCTGCTAACGCAAAGGACTGACAGGCTGGAGAGGCTGAATCAAACCACAAAACAGATCTTGGACAGTGTTTTACTCTTGGTGCCAGATTTGCCTCAAAGAAAACGGGTTTAGGACACGACGAAACTGTAAAACAGCCAGCGAGAAAACCTACAGCCCGTGGAACCTTCCCAGAAGAGGTTTCCCCCGGATGCTCAGCTTTACTAACATTTAGTGGCTCTAGTGCAGACAAGTGTCCAGGTGCGAAGCTGTGACCAGTGGGCCTCGCTCCCTCCTGCCCTCAAGCCACTGCCTGCCGGACCCCCTGCCCTCCAGCTCTGACCTCCGGGCAGAGGTGGGCGCTGACCTGGGTGCCCGCGGGGGCCTAGTCGTCGGCACCAGCACACGTTTCCCCCGCAACTCCCTGCGTGTCCTGTGGGCGCTGACCTGGCTCCCCAGGAGAGAGGCTTTCCGGGAAAACCACAGAGACGCGAAGACCAGTCTGCTTTGGAGAGGCTGCTGCTTCTCCTTTTTAGTTCAGACAACTTGCCGAAAAGAGAAGGTTGAAGTCAACTTCAGTTTTTACCCAACCTCTAATAAAGCCGGCTTTCGCCATCCACCTCCTCATTCAGAACTATAACCGCCCCGCAGACCCGCGCTGCTTCCACAGAAGGCGGGCTCGGTTGGGCCGGGAACAGTGGGGGAGGCACGAGCCATGGCCTTGGGTGCCACCTGAGACCGTGAGGGAGTAGCTTTTCTAACCACACAGGACCTCGACGTGAGGGGATGTTTGCCAACTGTTGGTTGGCTCACCTCCGTGGATGGGGTCTCACGGTCAGTCTGCAGAGCCAGCTCCAGCCCTTCTTAACGCTTCACAAGGAGCTCCCAGAACATCTGGGAGACGGGAGCCACGGAAGAAGCCACGAGTCAGCTTCTGCTACACTAACAGGGAGGCGGCCGGCTCGGCCGTGGGTCACGTTGGCATCAAACAGGAGGAAGTTATGGGCATCAGGCCCTGCGGGGCCCCCCGAACGCAGCACCTGCAAGCAGCCCAGGTCCCCTCTCCCCACACGGAACTGCGGCTTCCCCAGAGCATGGCGTTCAGCGTCCCTCTTTCCACCAAGGGACGCAGTTCATGGTCTGACAACATCATGGTCCGCAAGCCTGCTCTTCCCCAAGCCGGCAGGACAGTGGGGTGAGGAATTCACTGGGCACTAAGCCAGGCTGACGCTGAAGACCGGTGAAGATGTCCAGTCACCTGTGTGTCACCAGCCGAAGCTTCAATACCACGTACAAAACACAGACCCGCCTCACACATGTGCTTCATTTCCCTTTTGCAAAATTTATTTTTCTTTTTTGTGAGTCAGGAAATAGTGGTGCCTGCTTATTTATTTTTCTTCCTAAATTGTGGCAGGTGCCTGAAAGAGCTTGAAATTTTAAACAAGAAGTTCAAAGGATGGAAAAAAATGAACATAACCAAATTCTGGGTGTTGAAACCTGAAAAAAAAAAATCAGATTTATAAAATCCAACTAATTAGTACTTTCAAAAAGGACACTTTATCTCAGACGAAAACAGCGTCCCTGCCGTGCTGCGTTCCTCCACGGGATCACACACACATTGCTGCTGCAGAAATTCCCACAGCACAGTTCAGGCAGGAGCCTTCCTGAAACCCAGTCCGCCAGAAGCTCTACCAGTTCAAGGGAGCAGCGAAGTGGGGGACTCCCGGCCTGGTACCAAGGGGCACGAGGCACAAGAAGGACCCACCGCACCACAGCTGCAGGGGTGGGTGGGCGCCCGGGGCAGGGTGCCCCAAGCCTCGTTCCCCCCAAGGCTCTGCTCCCCCTTGTGCCGCCACCGCAGGCCCTGCAAGAGGCTCAGCCGCCACTGTCCTGGCACAGCCCTCCTCCAGCACAGGCTACGGCAGCCCACGGAGAGCTGCTGCGGTTGTGATGCTGACACTGTTTGCTTCATAATTTAGCTTCCTTTCATCTACATAATGTCTTAGATTGAAAGCTGTATTAAGGAAGAGCTGTGAGCATAAGGAATCTAAGGTGTGTCTGCACGAATTTAAATAACATTAGAAGAACAACAAATCAGCACAGAAATCACTTTTTTCCTTTTAGGGAGTACGTGTGACTTGCATTTGAAGATGAGGACACCGGGGCCACAAAGTAGGAGGAGGCCAGGCAGAGTCAGGACCAGACCCTGCTGTCGCCACGGTAACCTCATGGGAGTCGTCTGCTACCTAAGAGGCCTGGGTTAGAGCCCCAAGGCCTTTCCAGCTCTAGAACTTTAACTACAGGTCCAAATGAAAATCAGAAGCAAAGAAGTCAGTCATGTTTTCTCATTAGTAACAGACTAATCATTTATATTTGGCATAAACCACAAACTTGTATCACAGATCACCGTTATGACACGAAGAGAGATGGCAAACCCAACCAGACCATCTGTACAGCTGCAGGTTTCCCTGAGGACCTTGTGGAGAGTGCCGAGGAACAGAGCACATGGAATGCGGCCCTGGTGCCCCGCTCCTGGATGGGTCACAGCTTTTCCCTGGTTCTTGCATGTGTCTCCTTTAATGATGAGGTCTGGCTAATTCCTAGGAGCAAAATGCTCACCACAAACCAGTCATTTCCACTCACCAGTAGAAAACTCTAACTCCTGACAAAATGGCCTTTCTGACAAATTTAAACAAGGAATCAAAACCTAAAAGCTGTACCATGGACACATCAATGCATTTTACAAGGATCCTTGTATGTCAGAAGCCTGGGCCCACCACTGTGAGAAAGTAACTTTCTGTGAAATCGTGTTTTTAACTCAAGGACAGCTGTATGAAGACAGGAGTGTGCACTGGGCTGTGTGAAAATGAAGCAGGAGCTGTAACCACGCGCTCTGGACAGACAGCGAGGCCTCTGCTGTGCGGCCGACCAGAGGACTCCTGCAGTGTGGCTGAGTTCTCCACTCCCTTATTCTCTCCCACGAGCGTCTCTGCATTTACATTCACTGTTAGGACGATACTTGTATTCGGGGTGAAGCTGCAGTGATGCTTCTGGGCGACGTGTCGCAGGTGGTTTTCCGTGAGCGTCTTCAGTTCTGCCTTGTCTTCCTGGCTCCCTTCTCTACCCACTGCCTGTGAAATGCACAAGGGGAACGGAGTTTAAAACACACACCACGTCCCATGTACGTCTTGGACTGGGTGCCAGTAACGTGTGAAACACAGTGTATTTTATAATGTGTCTTGACTGTAGATAAGCCAGAGGCACTATGTTCAATGTCCAAGTTTTAAAACAATTCTCTCTCCAATGGTGACAGGGTTCTGTCCCACCCAGCAGGCAGGCGTTGGCTGGACTGCCTGGAACACAAGTGGCTGCGTGAGTCTCCGTGGCAACCGCATCTTCTGAGCCAGCCCGCTCTTCCTGCCAGGACAGGACAGCTTCCTAAGCTGGAGGGCCTGGGTGTGCGGGGGGGGTGACCAGGAAAGGAGGGGTGTGTCAGCTGCAGTTCCGTCCACAGGGAGCATCACACCTGAGGCCGTGTGTGTCTGCATGGGTGCTGTGCTGCCTGGATGTGGAGGAGAGTCTAGGAGAAGCTGAGGGACCCCCTGCCCCTGCGGTGCCCCCTCACTGAGTGTGGCCTTGGAGGCCCACGACGGGTCTCCTGATCTGACGCCACCAACCATGTGCTTCTTCCATCTGACCCCTGCTGTCCTCAGGGCTCAACATCATCCTTTCTTTGTGGGTCGCTCCTGCCTCGGAGATGCTGGAAGGTGCCAGCCCCTCTCCTCTGAGACGCTCCTCCCCGCGACCCAGGGCACCTGCACCCAACTCCTCCTGCACCCTCAGGCAGCTCTCCCTCAACCTCCCCTTTCTCCATGGTGTGTGGGTGCTGGTGCCCCAGGGGCTATTCCTAGTTCTCTACAAATGTGCTCGCCGTGTGCGCCTGCATCCGCGTGCGTGTGCGGCATCGGCGTCTCAAGGGCAACACACCCACAGGTTACTGCTGTTCTCCCCATGCTTCCAAGTCAACGCTACTGAGATCTTAACCCAACACAAGTCAGAAACCTGGGGGTTATTCCAAGGCCCCTCACCCTGTTTCCAAAGGTCACGCAGAGCTTCAGATTTTCTCAACTACATCATCCCTTCTGTGCCTCCAGAAGAAACTAGAGGTCTCTGCTCTAAGGAAACTGACCAACCCGAGGTAACAGAGCGAAGGATTCCAGTGCCAGGGCTTCCACAAGGGTCCCATGACTGAGAAGATGGCGGGTAGAAGCCCCGCCAGGCACAGACTTCCAATCCCCTTTTTAATGCCTGACTCTTCAACAAGAGCGGACACTCAAGAATCACCTGGCATCTGAGGAAAAAAAACTAAAGTAAAAACAGAGACCAAAACAAACATACAGAAAAAGAAACTTGGAAGGACAGTCTATGAAGGAAGAGAAACAAAATAAAACGAACTTATGGGTGTAATTAATCTCAGGTGTGAGAGAAAACGTGCAGTCTTGACACAAAGAAGAAAATGTGATAAAAACTAAGTATGTTGAGCTCTCAGAATTTAAAAACAGCACAATTAAAAAATTAACAGAAAGGATGGAAAATAAAGTTTAGGAAATTTCCCACAAAGTAGAGTAAAAAGACAAAAAGATATTAGGAGGAAAATGTAAGGTAATTATAGGACTCAGAATACAGTGTCTAACCTCTGAGACAAATAATTGAGAGCAGAGAAAATGAAAGGAGGAAATCATCACAGAATCATTTGAGAAGTTTCCGGACCTGAAAGATGTGAATTGGCTTCATGTCACCGTCCATTCGGCAGGTGGGCCGCGCTGGAGATGGACTAGCTTCCCCCACCGCTCTGAGCAGGGGCTCCTTGGAAGCTCTTGCTGGTGGTCAGGTGTGTGCCAAGAAGCTGGGCTGGGTGCTGGACCTCCCTGACTTGGGGCCCATCAGGATGGCCAGGCCTAAGGCCTTTCCTTAGAAGCTCACCCACACTGACCTCCTTAGAGAGTGAAGGACACACCTTCCTCACCACAGGCCAGAGACAGACCCAGTGTGTAGAGGTTGTTAATTAAACAAAGAGGCCATCAGACTGACTTGGCTCCAAGGCCTTAGCAGCCTAAGTAAGCAAACCCTCAAATGCCTTGAAATCAAGGAACCAAAACCTAAGGACAACCCATCACAAGCAGCCAGAGAGGCTATGAGCTTCAGCCGGCCAGCAGCCTCCTGGCCTTGCTTCGCCTCCTCCCTGGACAAGGCTCCCCTCGGCTCTTACTGGTGACGCCTCCAAACAGATTCTGCTTTGGTGCGGCCCAATTTGAATTGATTTTTTTCCTCAAATAAACTCTTAAAAATTTAATATGCTTTAGTTTGTCTTTTAACAAAGTGAAAGAGAGTTTAAGTTAGCAAAGACATGGAAAGTTGAAGCAAATGCGGCAAAATCTTGATAATGAAGAATCTGGAACATCCATTCTGAAGCTGAAGCTTCCATTTACTGCAGAACAATGGAAAGAACGGCACGTGCTAATCAGAGCATAAAGGTGGATTAAAAGAGGGAGGTGCAGAGGTGAGGGCAGGCTGCGGGCCACGGAGGGTAAGGAGGAGGACGCAACCGAGTCACTCACGAAGGAGGCAAACGCCTTCAGACCCAGCTTCCTTCCTCTGCAAACCTCGGAGATAGAAACAAAACCTCAGCGACGCGTGAGTGGTACTTTAGAAGCTTGACAGCGGCCTCCACAACAAAGCTAAAGGTCAGAGATGAACTGATGCCATCACACTGCTGTCTGCTGAGGCCAGTTTTAGCTGCCAGACATGTCTCCCTATTTCTTTGTATGCCTTGTGATTTTCTGCTGAAAACTGGACATTTAAAGCGTATACTGTGGTAATCCTGGAGATCTGATCCTCCTCGTCTCCTGGCGTTTGCTGTTTGTTGCTGCCGCCTCTGTGCTGGGGACCAGCCTGAGGGGGACATGTGAGGCCTGCTCACGTCTTTTCTGAGCCTGCATCCTTCCCTGGCCATGTGTGGTGGCTTTCTAAATTCCCCTGTATATATGCTTGCTTTTGAATGTCCTAACCCTTTAATGTCTGGCTTCCAGAAGAGCACAAAGGGAAAAAAGAGGAAACAAAAGCTCCACAGGGGTTGCTCCTTTAAATACTGTGGGGTTGAGACAGTGGCGGCCAGCGCCTGTCCCTCAGCAATCAAGAAGCCTGATGTGTGGCCCAGGACCTCACTGCCCATCCTGGCTCCAGCAAGCTGCTCTAGGAACGAGGACACGGCTGTCTGCCGAGGGCTGGAGGATGGGCAGCCAAAAGGGATGGATGGAAATTAATCACAACTAACCAGCCACGCCTTCCCCTGGAAGCTGCAAGCCTTCAGACTCCAGAGTTCCACAACAGCTCCTTCACACAGTTGCTGCCAGTACAACTGCTGTCCAGGCAGATGGGTCCCGGAGCCTCCTACTGCAGCATCGTCCCTGACATCACTCTCCTGCCATGAATTTTTGAATGTAGTATTTTTATTATTATTTCTAAAAGTAATTTTGATTTTGATTTCCTCAGTAAAAATTCAGAATGGTAGATTAACTTCCAAGTGGGAAGATTTCTGCTTTTTATCCTTCTGTTGTTGATTTCTTAAGTTATTTTCTTGTGGGCAGAAAATATGTCTTATGTGATTTCTGCTTTTCACTAAATTGGTTGAGATTTACTTTGGAACCTGTAATACCCAGTTAGACTTTTTAACTGTCCATTTATTTTTGAAAATAATATAAAGAGGGCATATATTGTTCTGTATATTTCTATTACAGTAAACTTCTTAATGAAGTTATTCAAATGTATATCATACTTTTGTCTACCTGATCTGTATCTCTGAGAGAGAGATGTATTAAATATACTCTTATTGGGTCTGTTTCTCCTTGTATGTTGCTTATAATTTTGATTTATGTCAGGTGCATAAAGGGTATGACAGATTTTCCTCTATCATCTTTCTTCCCCCCTTTCTTTCTTTCCTCTAGAGTGTACCCCTACATTTTACAAACATACGTAAACTTACATTTTTCTAAAAACTGCTAGATTTATTCAAAACCTATTCTCTCTCTAAGCAAGATAAAAAATTTAGTCTGCCTTTACTTTTCACCTTTTTTTAAAAAAAATAAATAAATTTATTTATTTACTTGTTTATTTATTTATTTTTGGCTGTGTTGGGTCTTCATTGCTGGGCGTGGGCTTTCTCTAGCTGTGGCGAGCAGAGGCTACTCTTCATTGTGGAGCGGGGGCTACTCTTTGTTGCAGTGCGTGGGCTTCTCATTGCAGTGGCTTCTCTTGTTGCGGAGCACGGGCTCTAGGTGCATGGGCTTCAGTAGTTGTGGCACACAGGCTCAGTAGTTGTGGCTCCCGGGCTCTAGAGCGCAGGCTCAGTAGTTGTGGCGCACGGGCTCAGCTGTTCCGCGGCATGTGGGAATCTTCCCAGACCAGGGCTCGAACCCATGTCCCCTGCGTTGGTAGGCTGATTCTTAACCACTGCACCACCAGGGAAGTCACTGCTTTTCATCTTATGTCCCAGAAACACTCATAACTTTCCTTATAATACTCTGATATTTTAGTCTCCAATTGTTTTTGCTTATTCCATTTTTACAGTTAATAATTATATAGCAATAACTATACATTTTACTGATTTCTTTGTTCAACACTTTCCTATATCCCATGCATTCCTGTTAGCTGAAGTGCTCATTTTGCTAGAGCATACTCACTTTCTTTTGGAAAAGATCTGTTGGTCAAAATTTTACAATTCCTAAAAGTGTATTAATGTTTTGCTCTGATGTTACAATGCTAATTTGGCTGACTATAGGAGTCTGGGCTCAAAATTATTTTTCTCCAAAGGAGAGCAAAGAAATGATGTGATTGCTGGAGAGAAAGCAGATTACAAAGGGTTTTTGCAAAATGGGAGGAATAACCAGGGGATATAGCTGATGCTTCAGGAGCCGGGCGGTGGGGGGAGGCTGTGGTGGAGCAATGCCACTGACCAGGTGATGGGGACTTGAGAGCACAGCTGAAGAGACTCATGGGTAGTTCATCCATAGGAGGAGACGAAAAAGTAGATATTCCCTCTGTTATTCTGGATTTGTCTATTTCTCCTGGCATTTGCTTATACAATTTAGATTTGATAATGCATTGATGCGTGAAAGTGGCTGTAGGAATGTACAGGAAGCAGCGTTGTCAGCTGTGACTGAGGTTGGGGCGAGTGCTGGAAAACTAAGCAGGGAGGAGAGGTGAAACGTGTGGACAGTGGGACAGAGTGGAGGCTGACTTCCCTGAGGTCGGCGAGCGTGAGTGTTAAGGTGGGGCTGGTAAGGGTGACTGTGGGTTTTTCTCTAGCCACAGTACAAATGCAAAGGATTGGATTTAGCCGAAGTTTGCAGTTTTACCACAAAACATAGTAAAATGAGAGAGGCAAAGCAGTCAAGAATAGATACAAGAAAGTCACTTTCATTACTGATCATGGAAGGTAAACAGGGAGGGGATACAGCAGAGAAGGAATGTGAGGACCAGTGAAGGGGGCTGGACAAGTGGACTGGGGTCCTGATCTGACCAAAGGATCACCCAGATCTAGAGGCAGGAAGCTGTGTGGCTGGACAGTAGGTGTTTAAAACTGAAGTTATTTTTTTAGTGACCACAGAGGGGACCCAGAGCAGACTTCTCTCCTTCCCTTGAACTCTACGTGGCACTGGAACTTTGTACCACCAGAGGCCTCTTGTGCCTGTCTGCCTCCCCAGAGAGTCCAGATAAATTGGGGAGACTGGTTCAAGATGGCGGAATAGAAGGACGTGCCCTCACCCCCTCTTGCGAGAGCACCGAATCACAACTAACTGCTGAACAGTCATCGACAGGAAGACACTGGAATTCACCAGAAAAGATACCCCACATCCAAAGACAAAGGAGACGCCACAATGAGACAACAGGAGGGGCGCAATCACAATAAAATCAAATCCCGTAACTGCTGGGTGGGTGACAGACACTGGAGAACAATTATACCACAGGAGTCCACCCACTGGAGTGAAGGTTCTGAGCCCCACGTCAGGCTCCCCAACCTGGGGGTCCGCCAACGGGAGGAGGAACTCCCAGAAAATCAGACTTTGAAGGCTAGTGGGATTTGACTGCAGGACTTCGACAGGAATGGGGGAAACAGAGACCCCACTCGTGGAGGGCACACACAAAGTAGTGTGCGCATCAGGACCCAGGGGAAGGAGCAGTGACCCCATAGGAGACTGAACCAGACCTACCTGCTGGTGTTGGAGGGTCTCCTGCAGAGGCGGGGGGTGGCTGTGGCTCACCACGGGAACAAGGACACTGGCAGCAGAAATTCTGGGAAGTACTCCTTGGCGTGAGCCCTCCCAGAGTCGCCATTAGCCCCACCAAAGAGCCAGGTAGGCTCCAGTGCTGGGTCAGCTCAGGCCAAACAACCAACAGGGAGGGAACCCAGCCCCACACATCAGCAGACAAGCGGATTAAAGTTTTACTGAGCTCTGCCCACCAGAGCAACACCAAGCTCTACCCACGACCAGTCCCTCCCATCAGGAAACATGAAAAAAAAGATCTATTTCCAAAGCTGGGAAATAAGGTTGTAGGTCCTACAAGACTGAATGAAAAGTGACTAGACATGCAGATGTCCTTAAGAAGGACCAGCAGGAAGGGGTGAGGATATTTCAAACGTAAGAGATATACATGTATTAAAATAGCGGGAGACTATATCCCTTTTTGGTAAATACCAGATGGGATTCAAACACAAGACAAAGTCAGGAGCTATGCACACAGAGCTGTCGGTCAGGGTGAAGCATCAAGTGCAAAGTTACAAACTGAACTGTGATTCGTTTAGGGTTTGTTTTTAATGATGTCAACTGAAGGACACGTCTTATGAGTGCTGGTGAGCATGTCTGAGAGTGCTGGGGTTCTCCCAAGTCGTGGTTGTGGCCCAGAAGGGGACTTGGTAGTCACAGCAGCTCCAGGCCAAAGGGAGACAGATGCTAATGAAGGGCCTGTCTTCTAACCCCTAATCTAGATTTTCTTCTATTATCAGAATCTCAGGGGTTGAGTTCAGAACAATCTGGGGCTTACTATTTCAATTTTTGGATTATCTGAAAATTCCTCCATGAAAAGAATTTCTCTGAACTTGGATTCATTTAAGATATTTTTTAACAACAAGAGCCCTGCAGGGCTCACAGACAAAGAGCAACAAATGTACCACTCATTAGTGGCATCATAAATTAGGCTTCCTGCCTGATGCCTGATGTCTGCTGAGCACCCGGGTGTGTCTTCACATGCACAGGCTCTGGGCTTGAGCCTAACAAGTGCAAAATGAAAAGGATGACACAACAGAAGCAGACCCACGAGTCTCATGCTGTGTCAAGACTACGCAGTTACCTCTCCCACCAGGAAGGTGAGAAGGAAGCTGGTACCTCTTTCGCTATACAAACACTTCTGAGGACCAACAGAAGATATGGTTGGAAACTTTACTTTTGGTTAGAATTTATAATTAGAAAACAATTCCTGGAAAATGACATAGCTAGTAGACATCATGTCTTCAAAGACAAGATCATTTGGGAAGCATCCTCACTATCTAGTGTTAAAGTTAGAAAAAGTGGGATATAATGAGATTCCCACTCATTAAAAGAAACCAACCATACCCACATCACAGATGAAGACACTGGAATGAAGATGTTAACAATGACCGTTTGGGGCCATGGAATCAGGTACAATGTCTAAAAATAAGCCAACAAAGGCGTTTCTTATATGATACGAGGGAGAAGACTGACAAGGATGTTTGTCCTCTTTACGTGATGCTGGGTCTAGAAGCCACAGGTCAGCCCCTCCTCAGAGAAGACAGGCACTGTCTGATTACTTCACTCTGAAGGAGGGTGCTGGGTTTCATGGCCAGACTCTGCATCTCTTTCTGTGCACACTTTTTCTGAAGGAAGCAAGCTCATCTTGAAACCAAGTTAACTTAGCTCCTTGTTGGGAGGTTTTAACATCTGAATTCTTTTAAAGTTTGGCACTTGACATGAAAGATGTATGTTATAAAGACAGATACTGTACCTCAACCTTTGATAAAACTGACTTGTTCTGAAGATATAAGTGGTGGACTTACCCAAAAGATGATTAGTATCTTCTCCATTGGTCAGGGTCATACTGTCTACTTCCTGCACCAAATAAATATGAAAACAAAAATTCAGAATCAAATTTCTCTAAAATTCAAACAGAAAAAATGGCACATTTCTAAGTATGTATAAAAACAACACCTGAGTTATATTTGGGGCCAGAACTTTATTCTCTTTTCAGTTTTGGCCACCATAATTATTCCATTAAAGTAGGAAGCAATTAATTAAGAGGCAGCCCTGTGAGTGGAAGGAAGCAGCGTCAAACCTGCTCCCCTCAACTCCAGTTCCAACCGCCTGCACTGCGCCTGCACAGTCGCTGCTGTCAGTGAAGTCTGGAAATGGCCTTTCACGTGGAGACGGCTCATGGCACATTCTGCTGAGTGTGGAAAAGCGCGAGTGTGGTTCCCTCCACAGCAGAGCCCAGGGCTTCCTTGCCCCTGCCCATGGGGCTGCTGCCCACCTCCCGCCCGTGCTCACGGATGATGGGCAGTCTTGTCACCCACACCCCCAGGAGGGTAGCAGGAGGTCACAGCGGTGGCCAGAATGAGGTTTCCAGGCCCCACCCTTGTTATCACAGATGATCGGAGGCAGCTTTACAACAGCCCAGGCCTCCTACAGAATTACCACAGAGAAGTGAAAATCTGAAGAAATCACAGGCAAATTTGTGGCTACTGACTGTGGAATTTAACACATCATTTCTCACCAACAGCATGGAAGAGGTTAAACCATTCTCACTTTAGCTGCCGGCTAGCATTTTAAAAGTTCCGAAAGCTTTGATGTTCACCCCCTTAGTGAGGGGAGGTTCACACCTCTGCTGGTCCGGGGTCCCCACCCCTAGTTCACTGGATCTCAGCCCAGAAAGGTCTCACAGGCTTGTGATTCTCACCTCTCTCGGCCGGCCAGGCCCAAATGGAACGGCTGGCCTCTCATCAGGCCAGGGGGCGGCCGTGGGAAATCTCCCAACTTCTGGGCAGTAACTGAATACTCTCATTTTGAGGCATTCTTCGTTTTTCACCAATAGGAAGAATTTTGCCTGTTAACTCTGCCCTGGAAATAGTGACAACCTTCTGCTTGGACTACCTTAGTATCTCCAAAAAATACTAAAACAGGAGTTCAAAAGTAGACAATACCCAGCAAAAAATGTGCTGGCCAAGTGGAGATGACATAATTCAATCATAGCATAAAACTGAAAAAGTGGATTACCTAACCTGAAAAAACATATTCCTGTCCCAATAAAAGACTTTATGTATACAAATGTGTGTGTGTGTGTGTGTGTGTGTGTACGAAACATATACTATATGAAAACATCTGCAACTAGGAAACATACGTGCATTGCAGTAACATTTTCTGAGCACTCTCCATGTCAGGCAACATGCAAGTGCACACACTCCGGCTGTTTATGTGTGTCCCGTCGGAACTTCCACCACCCTACTCCTCAATTCCGAAGTCTGACACCAACTCAGTGCTCACCACCTCAATTTGCCTCTGATCTGTGGCCTCCCAGAGGAAGTTTTTCAGCCCCAGCCCTCTGGCACTAGCACCCCTTGACTTTGGTGTGGCTACTGTGGCCCCGACAGAGCAGGGGTTTCCTTCAAAGACCCCTTATCAGACGTATGTGCTGGGTGTACAGGGAAAACACCCCGGAGGCACCGGCACCAGCTCGGGAACCACCGACACCTGAAAGAGGAGTCGCAGCTGCACCTCTGGCCTCATTCCCTGAGTCGATGGTTCCTTAAGTCCACGTATCGACCTGGGTCCTGTGACCTGCACTTGAGGTTTGGTAGTGAGACCTGTGGGGCCCAGAGCTCAGGTCTCTGGCAGAGGAGGAAGAAGGGAAGAGACAGCACATTTCCCCGGGGGCCTCTGCTCTGCCAACGTGCCCGAAGCCCGAGACCAGGTGGGAAGACTCAGCAGACATGCACAGGCCTTGCTGGCATGCGTCCTCGACCCCTCTCATCAGCCCAAGGTGGTGGCAACACCTGGCCTTGTGCTCCTGCAGGTGACAACCTTTCACCCTCCCTCCCCCAGACCCAACCACTTCCTTGAATCATTCCTCCCAGCACCTTAAAGCCCGCCAGACCAACGAGGAGCCCCTTGTTCTCCAGTCACCAGCTGCCTGCCAGCACTCTGGTCCAGTCCCACTGGGACACTGCCGCCCCCAGCCTCCCAGAGGCCCTCAGCGTCCGGGTGTCCCCGTCCTTCTGCACTGACCTGCTTACTCTCAGGCTTGTGTCCGTCCACTGCTCTCTTCACCAACACCACTCAGCCTGACCTCAACCTCCACAGGGCCCAGTCCACACATGTAGGATACGTGAACGCAGGCAGCACCTGGGCCTCCGCACAAGCAGCAGGGCTCCTGCCACTCCCCAGGGGGCCAGCTGTCAAGTCACGTGGGGTCTCAAGAGGAAGATTCCTCCCCAGCAGGGAACCAGGGCTGATGGTGAGTGTCTACGCTTCCGCCCTAAGGAAAGTCACTGTTTTTCTAATTTGCGCGAGGAGAAATTGCCAGACACTACTCCTGTCTGCCAACAGAATCTGAAGAAACTTCTTCGTTTACTGTAGATCTCTGCCAACAGAATCTGAAGAAACTTCTTCGTTTACTGTAGATCCAAGGAAAACTGTTTCTCCTTCTTCAATGTTAACACGCTCCTGAAATTTTTGCCATCACAAGGAAGTAAGGACGAAGCCAACATTCACGACCTTTTCTCCTTGGCCGGCAACCAGAGGAAACTCTGACCAGGTTGAGGGCAATGTCCTGGAGAGGATTTGGTGTTTAAGCAATGGCTTCTGGTCCTGTGGTCAAGTGATGGCTGAACTCATACAGGCCAAGCCTGCACAGTCAAGCTTTGCTTTGTTTCCTTCCTTTATTTTTAAAAAACAGCTTTAACTGAGGTATAGTTGACTTTGTTTGCTTTTTAATAGAAAAACAACTCTAATAAACTAATAACTCTAATAAAACAGGTCAGCGTGAAAATATTAAGGGAAACACTAGAGCTAACAGCAAGAGAGGAACAAGGTCTCAGAAAGGACAGCGTAGGGGCCACCAGAGGCCAGGTCCACGGGTGCCTTCCCTCCAGCCCTCAGCACAGCCTGCAGGAAGAGCCCGGCCCCAGGTCAGACGTCAGGGAACAGCCCCAGGGGATCTGTGATTTGCTCAGGCCAGGCCTCTGGCAGGTGGTGGACCCAGGTTTCGAGACAGCTTCTGCCTGTCTGGACCCAAGTGAAGTAAGAAAAGAAAGTCTGTAGCGTGTACTATTCTACAGGCTTCAAATTCAAGGGCGCACCAGGCCCAACGCCACCTGGCGTGGGGCAACACGAGGCCTGCACCCGATGGTGCGTCCCAAGGACACAGGTCTGCCTCTTATGCACTCTGCAGGGCCACTGTCCCAGCGTGAAAAAGCAGCAGCAAAGGACCTGGGGTTCAGAGCCAGAAGGACACTAGGGGGTACCTGGGCCGGACACCCAATGATGAGGCCCAGGGGTGGTGCAGGAGCTGTTCGAGGTGACACGCCCTCTAGAGGACGGCCTGGTGCTGGCCAAGTGCTCCCCCGCAGGCGCCCGAGGTCACAGCCTCTCCCACCCGGTGCCCGTCTCAACCTGCAGCCTCCCACCCTGGCTCTCCTGACCCGAGGCCCAGCAGGAGGGAGAGGGCACAGGCCTGAGCCAAAGGGGCGAGGGAAGGTGGCCGTTCACAGAACACCAGGCCCCGATGGGGAGCGCAGGGCGGTGGTGGGAAGGGAGACGGCTGGAGAGACACTGGCAGGGGCCTGTCTCCTGGCTTTGGGAGCGGACTCTGGAGGGAGGGCTGACCCTGGCCACGCCGGGCCAGGCAGCTAAAGATGGCCCCCAGCTCCCCCCGCCCTCCGTGCTCTGCTGGGGGCCTGACTCCAGGGGGAGCAGCATCGCACTCGTATCTGGAGTGGGGGATCCGGGCCGCACCCGGCTCCAAGCCCACCACACAAGGCCTCGAGGCCCCAGGGCCACCAGCACCGAGACCCAAACCCAGTCAGAACCGCAGGACGTTTCCTCCCGGCTCCGCACTGAAGGCCGAGGGCTCTGGGCATGTGGGTGACAGTCTGCTGCCTGACGGCCGCCCCTCCTGGCATCGCCCTGCTCAGGACACCAAGGGCGTCTTGTGTGGCCCTCGCGAGGGGAGAGCACGGCCGGGTAAGGGCCGCCCCTGCTCCTCCGCGGCTGTGGCCCCCTGTGCATGGCTTTGCCCCTCTCCTCGGACCCCTCGTGTAACCCAGCGGGGGCGGGGGGAGGGGAGCCCCGCCTTTTTCCCTCCAGGCCTCCGCATATCTGTCCAGGGTCCTCCTTCTCTCAGAAACACCTTGCCCCTGGTTCCCCTGAGGAAGGCCCATCGTTCTCAAGAGTCAGAAGCTGAAATTCTGCCTGTTTCCAAGCAGTCCCACTGCCCAGCTAGAGGCGGATGGGGCTGACGGATGAGTGCCATCGGCAGCATGTCCCTGTGCACGACGCAGGTGTGACGGATGGACAGCCCCCCAGCCCAGTGTCTGAGGAGCTGCGCCCTCGGCCATGAGTCCACAGCACTGCTATCACCTTCTGATTCCAGAGCGTACACAGACCTGCCTATGGTTTTCCGGGTGCCCTGTCTGCACCTGAGTCAACCTCAGCACCTTCTCGCTGTGAAGTCATGGAAAGGAGGTATTTTCCCTGCTCAGTGACACGGCACTACGTGATCGTTCAGATGACTTAGCTGGCACTGGGCGGAAGTAACCCCGTCCCAACAATGGACCAGGGATTCTAAGAAGATGGAACTTTACTCACTTTGTTCAACCAGCCCACCTTGAAGCTTCAAGTGACAGTGGGTGGCGTCATTTGGGAGGGCAGAGACTGCAGGTGAAGTAAGCTCAAAGGAACAGCTGCAGCACCTGCGAGTCTAACTCTGGGAAGCTTTCCTCTCCTGACAGGGATGGGCATTTCCGAAACAGTCATCATAAACTCTGGCATCACGGAACCGTACAACAGACTCCTAACATTAGGTAAGTGCAGATTCTACCAAGAACCAGTGGGAAGAACTCAGCCCCCCACAGGCCACCACGGGACGAGCAGTCCACACACAGCCTGGCTCGGAGTCCACGTGGCCACAACGTACTAAATTCATCTTTATGCGTTCAAACCAGGTATCTGTATTACACACATAAGAAGCAAAGGATTCATCTTACTTCCCAGATCACACTGTTAAGGCTCTTACGTATAAAACCAAGTCATAGGGCTTCCCTGGTGGTGCAGTGGTTGAGAGTCCCCGCCTGCCGATGCAGGGGACATGGGTTCGTGCCCCAGTCCGGGAAGATACCACATGCCACGGAGCGGCTGGGCCCGTGAGCCATGGCCGCTAAGCCTGTGCATCCGGAGCCTGTGCTCCGCAACGGGGGAGGCCACAACAGTGAGAGGCCCGCTTACCGCAAAAAAAAAAAAAGTCATAGAACATAAGAAAATGCTTCTACTGGTAGAATGCTACTGTTTGTGTTCTTATTAGAAGGGTGTATGTATATGTAGCCTTTACAAGAGCCTTCCTTTGAGTAAATTACAAAAAACTGGGTCTTGAACAGATGAATAAATTGACAGAAAATGAATAAAGCAGTGAGCAGAGGCAGGCTAGCACCGAGCATGGCAATTACGTCTCCACTTCACTAGGCAAAGCAATCAGATCTATCAGTACATTTATCTGTTTATTTACTTGTAAACATACAACCTATTTCCAAAACAGCTGCGAGGCAGTCTCCAGAACACTGCCGCCACCCCGCCTGCCTCTTACCTGGCCCCTGGTCCCTCCAGTGCTGTCCTTGGCCAGACCGGCTGTACCCAGAGCTCATCCTGTGGTCGCTGGATCCCTGTCGGCCCCTCCGCCCTGTGGGGACACGTGATCAGCACGTCAGCAGCTACCAGACGCTGAACTCCAAATGGCAGTCGTGTTTAAGAGTAGAGCAAGGTGACCCTGGGCTGGCAGCTCCCAAACTTCTGGCGTCCTTACCATCACAGGGAAAGCCCCTGAAAAATGCAGATGCTGGGGCCACGGCACGGCGGCTGGGTTGGGTCAGGGCTGCACTTAAACCTGTTCCCAGGAGTCTGTGGGGGGGACGAGCAGGCTATCTTGTCAGGTCCCTCAAAGCAGGGCAGTAAGTTCTCCTTTCTGCCTCCTCGGGCAGCTGCCCTGGGCAGCGGCCACAGGCCCAGGCCCGCACTGCTGGCCACCAGCACGCGGGGCTCTGGGACATGGTGGGCCTGACCAGGCCACCCTCTCCTCCCAATTCCCCGCAAACTTCATCGGCATGCAATCGGCTCACTCTAAATTCTTCTTCTAAATTCCTAAACCCTGACGCCTTCTTCTGTTTGTCTCTACTAGAATTCAGTACTAGCAAGTCTAAGTACATATTTAAATGTGATTCTAAACACTACCTTGGTGCCTCACACTATTCCATAAAGAAAGGAGGCCAAGCCTGCCCGGCACCAGCCACAGGGGTGAACCAGCGCTCTGAGGACATGGGCAGGCGGCTCCGCACTGGCTCAGCCCCGGGCCCCTGCCCTCCACGCGCACACTGTTGCCAGCTGAGGGCGGGGAGCAGCCTGAAAGGCACCGGCAAGTGTCAATGGCACCAGCTCGTCCCGGGAGAAGGAGACAGCGGCTGCGTGCAGGTGACCGAAGGACGCTGGGCTGGGGCCAAGGGGCTGGGCTCTGCCACTGAGAACCTGTGCGGTGTTGGCGAGCCACCGGGGCCCAGGGGAGTGAACCACAGAATATCAGGCTGTATTTGTGAAGAAAATGATGACATCGAGGACAGAAAAAAGGAGCAGTTTCCACATCACGTAAATTGACTGATGATTATCTGTTGAAACCGTTTCTTCCATAATCTGGAGTAACTCGACAGGATCACCCAGGTCTGCCATCTTACGGACACTTCACCAGAAAGAGATCACAGAGTTTCCTGTCTGTATTAGGAGTGACCGTACTGCAGCATTAAACTCTGTGAAACCACAGGCTGTCTTAGGGCTTTCAAGAACACTTGTCACATGTACAGTCCTCTTAAGCCTGAGTGTAAGACTCTGAAATGCAGAAAGAGGTTCAGGCATCCAAATCCCAGTGACTACTGTAGCTGACAAAGCCTGCATCCTGCCATCTGCATGTCTGCAGCCAGCCTGTCACTGCTCTGCTAACAATCTCACTAGTGACAGGAATCCTGGTGCGGTGCTCACAGGGCAGACGGCCTGAGTGACATGCTGCCAACAGATGTGGGGAACAGGGGACACAGAGAGAAGCTGCCTCTTTCTTCTGCAAGGAATAAACTTTTGCTCTGGGGTCTCAAACGCCGCCTATCTCCAGGCAGCTGGAGAAAGGTAAAGGATGGAGAGGGGGCGAGGCCAGGAGGGACTCTGTCACCATTAGGAGTGGGCTGGGGCCGGAAGCCCCTTTACACAGCACTGACCAGCAGCAGCTGGACGCGACCCGAGGCCTCACCGACCTCATGGCACAAAGTCTCTCGGAGCGAAACGTGCAGGGCTGGTGTGAGCAGAAGTCAAGACGGTCTGGGGGAGTAGGAATTTGGGGTAATTCTCTATTCCATCAAGAAAAAATGGGGCTGCTACAGTTACAGGTATAGATCCTACCCAAACGAGGACATGAGAACGTGATTAAAATGAACTCAACACAATGAGCTACTGAACAAGATGTCCGACTTCACTGATAAACAAAGAAGCACCCAATCGAGGAGACAGGCTTTTTCATCTATCAAATTAGTCAGAAAAACAAACTTTTAAGTGGTGTCAAGAATGCATGAAACAGGAACTCTTAATCCCTCTGGTGAAGGTGTGAAGTGACCGTGTGTTTTTAGAAAACAAGTTGGCAACATTTATCTAAAATCCAATTATGTTTGGATCTATAATTCTGTGAACCACGGAACTCTATCCTAAGGAAACAACACACAGAAAAGCATCAAGTATAATGAGAAAAAACGGAAGCTTGAGGCGGGGGGGCTACGACGCAAAGGCAGTGCGTGTGGTGGTGGGGATTCTGTTTAAGGGGAGCCTGACCACCGTGACCACGATCACGTTGGAAGTCAAGTGCCAAGGAGAACAGGGCACACAAGCATGCAGAGTATAATCATAATGAGACGAAAACCCAGGAAAACACCTGTCATCATCATCTTCAGGAGACAGAATTAAAGGTTATTTGGGTTTCATTTTTAATTATTTTCTTTATATTCTAAGTGTTTTCTCATGTACTTTTATCACGAGAAAAAATACGTCCAAACCTCTGTCAAATAAAGGCCCACCAGCCCAGCGGCGTGTGTACTTCAGGGCCTCCTGGAAAGGAGGCTGAGCCCCAGAGGAGGGTCCTTAACTCTCAGCACATGAACCCTCTGAAAACCCCCTCCTAAGGGGGCCAGAACTTAAACCGCTCAGCAGCACACTATCATCTTAAGTTTGTTTCTTCTTCCAATTTTATCAGCCTCTCCTCGCAGCTGCACGTGGCAGTGGGGCCCCTCCTGGGACCAAGAGGCTGGGACCCACCTGAGTGGTGTGAACGCCAGTGCCGCCTGCTGACGATGGGTCTGTTCTCCTTCATGCAGGCCTTGCACACGACTGACTTCAGGGCATGGAATCTGGTGAGCCAGGACCTCTGCAAACAGACCAGATGGGCGGAGCAGTGTCAGACACAGGCAGGCACTCAGGAGACGCAACTACGTGAGTGAAACTACACAGTATGCTGTGCCCAAGGACACCGCAGCGGTGTGGGCGAGCATGGCTGCAGTTTCCCTTCCACACTGCAACTCAGCAAGATGTTCTTAGAAACTGATCTTCTCCTGCATGCCCTGGAACGGCAACAGTGGCAGCTACACCCTCTCTGTCCCCGGTAGGTTATACAAGCATTTCCAAAAGGGCCTTCAAGTTCTACTGTGACATCTATGGCCCTAACACACAATCATACCTAAAACATCCATGCCGGTAATGTGTTATCACCTCAGTTCCTCTTGGTTGTAAGACAGTAAGTGGAAAGAGCAAGGCCACAGACAACGAATTAACATGCGACCTTCCCTTCCAGCCTCATCTGTACTATTGAATATTTGATCCTATCTGCCCTAACTTGTTTTAAAGCAGTGAGTGTGAACCTGTAATCATTTTGCACTTGGTCAAGGCATTAGGAAGGAAAGGAGGGAGGGGTCCGTGATGGGTGATGTGCAGGCCGTGAGCCCGGCCTACTGTTACCTTTCACTGATTCGGTACTAAGGCCACACTTACAGGACATTTTTGTCAGTACTCTGCTTTTGTTGACTACATAACTGTGGCTGCTTCTAAACTCTGAACACTTACATTCCTATGACGCCCTGGACTGTGTCTGTGTGCGAAGCAGCACTACCGGCACATCAGTCAGTAATGTTTTCCATCTGATGCGAAGGCGTGGAGCGCTGACCCGTCACAGACAGTCAGCTCTCGCTGATGACAGGGTCCTGTGGGTATTAACACACGTTCCAAATGAGCTTGGCCGGGGCCCGACTTGGAAATCTTCCAGGAACCGTGTAGCAGTTGTACTTACAAAGCCAGAACAGCAGCCAATGACCCCAACTAAACTGTCAGCCTTCAGGGAATATTTTCAAGTAACAAATCATCACCGCTCCTATCGAATTAGTCTGATGTCTGCAGAGGCAGCTCTGCAGGGAACGTGCATTCTTAACTCAAAAAGGGGAAAAGCAGCGAAAGCACTCGAAAATTTAAAATGTGTGAGACTGGGCAGGACGCTGCTCGCCCGCCTCCTCACAGGTTCTGGCAGAAGCTTCAGCAACGCTGACCCTGAGGCCTGAAGCACAACCACAGCGGAGGAGGCCACCGGCACCAGCAGCCTCACGGACTTCTGGGTCAATTTCAAAGCCTGGGATCTGCGGCTCCTCAGAGCGGACGTCTGGGGTCTGTTCCTAAAGTAAAATGACCGTGAGGACAGAAGGTGCTGCGGACCCTTTTGACCTCCAGCCGAGGACTCTGAGTTTTCGTGATGCATTTGAGCAACTGATTTCAAACCTACTTTTTCTAAGCGTAAAGAAAACTGTGAACTCACGTGTTGTTCCACAAGCGCCTCTGCTGTGTACCCTTTCTCAGACTGCAGGTACTTCTGATGAAACAGCTTCCCGTCGAACAAATTCCAGGGCATGAAGTCCGACGTTTTCCAGGGGAAGCCGCAGGCACTGTTGACCAGCACCAGGGTGGTGAGGCCGCGGACCAGGAGGGTACCCAGCTGCACGGCCCTGGGGTCGACGTGGTCGAGCTGTGGAGACAAGATGCACAGAGAAGGTGAGGAGGCAGCCGCCACTCGGGCAGAGAACCAGAGGCGCTGCGCCCTCGGGGTGCGACCTGCTCCGCACACAGAGACACCCTTGGAGCTGCAAAGGCCAAAGCTCTGACCTGCCAGGAAGGTGACAGGATTGCAGCCTCGGGCCTACTGGGAAACTTTCTTTAAAAGCAAAGGCAAAGGAAGAGAAGCCAAGACGGGGGCATTTTGGACACAGATGAGTCACCGCATTTTAAAAAATCACACTGAGTTCTGTGAACATTATTAGATATGTTTTACACGAATGTCTACCATTTAAGAATAAAATGGCTTATTACTGCATAGGGTTGATGGTCTGTTACTTCTTACAAATTAAGGTCACACCCATACAAAATATTTATTCTGCTGTCAAACCTCCTTCCTGTTCTTGGACATAGCAGGGGCTCCATTTGGTGAGAACCTGCAGAGACGCCCTTCGCCTTCAATCGCTCGTGTTTCTGGAATTTGTGGCCTGTGCTGACCACACACAGTGAACTGACAGGCAGCAACTGTCCACGGGGTTTTGTTAACAAGGCAAGTTCAACTCAGTCTGTCGGCATCGGGTGGATCTGTGTTGCTCAAAGTAAACAGCAGCGATTTTAAATGTCATTATGTATCTCACATAGTTTACAAAATTGAAGTAAACCAGGAAAAGGGACAGATGTTCATGCCCTTTTTAAGTCAGGTCTCACCTCCCTTATTGAGAGAAGCGTGGTCGTGACCCTCAGGTCTCTCTGCCCGCGCCCTCACCAGGCTATCTGCCCCTCGCTGTTGTCAGCACCTTCCACCATCTCCCTGATTTCAGTCGTCGAGCCCTCACCCTGTGCACCCACGCACACGGGGTACTGTCTGTCTAGAGCCGCACTGTCCACACCAGCAGCTGGGGCCCTGGGTGAGGTTTGAATTTAAGTGCAGTAAGATCAAATGCTCCATTTCTCAGATGCACCACCCCACTCGGGGGCCTGAGTGGCAGTGTCAGTCGGCACCTTCCCGCCTGCCCACCGCTGGACCTTCTCCACCTCCCGCATTCCCCTCTTTGCAAAGCGCCCAGCCTCGAGGCTGCACTGCAGGCCGCACGGGTCGGGGCAGGTCTCAACCCCAGGTCAGGGCACCCACCATGGCTGCTCAAGGTCAGGTGAACTGACGCAGTGGCTGCGTATTTTCTGAGTATTGGGGGCAGTTCTCTCATGAAGCACATTTTCCAGTAATGGAGTCAGTTTCTGTTCATCTCTTCGACACCTGTTTGTCTGTTTTAAAGTAAAGTTTAAATGAAGTATACCACTCCGCAAAGCACAGATCCTATGTGCGCCACTTGAATTCTCAAACAAACCAGGCAACCAACACCTGGGCCACAAAGCAAATGTCACCAGGACCACAGAAGCCCCTCTGCCCCTCCCTGTCACACCCACTGTCCCCAGAGGTAGCGCTAACCGACTCCTCAAAGCAGGAACGGGCTTGCTCGCCAGTGAGCTGACGGAACCGGCTCCGGAAGTGAAGTGCACACACGGGCTCCGGCTTCCCCGGACTGACGCTGCTGGGGTCTCCCCAGGCCATTCACCCCTCCGGGCTGTCACACGCCACTGCATGCGGGGCTGACTGGGGATGCTGAGCCTATGAACCACGCTGCGGACAACGGGCATCTTTAAACAGTGAGCCTGTTTCCAGCCCAGGAGCGCATCCTGTCAGCAATGCTTTATGGTTGCCAGTGTGGAGACTTGGCCCAGCTGTTGATTTTTCCTAAGTATTTCATATTTTTTCTTTGATGTTAGTGTAAACACAAAAAATGCGGGGGCTATTTTTACTTGTTATTGTTTCTGTAGAATATACCTGGATTGTGTATGTTGACTCTGCACCAGCCCCTGTTAAATTTGCTTAGTAATTCTAATGGTTGCCCTGTAGATCTGGATTTTCCATATACACAATCACGCCACCTGTCAATAATGACAGTTTTATTCTTTTCTTCCAGTGTAAGGGAAGTGGTGAAAGAAGGCACCCCTGACTCACTCCCACCAGAGTGGAAAAACTTCCACTGTTTTACCATCAGGTCTGATTTCTGTTGTAGATACTCTTTGTTGGATTAAGGAAATTCCCTTCCACTCCTGGTCTGCTGAGACTTTTTACGACAAACAGGTACTGAATTCAACCGAATACTTTCTCTGCATCATGCGTGGTACTAACGAAGTGAATCACACTGGTTTTCAAATGTTGGAACCAAGTCTGTATTCCAAAAATAAACAGCTGGTTGTGTTGAAAGAGCAGAAGATTTTTCACAGGTTGCAGAATCAAAATCTGAGGGTATCTTCCAGCAACAGAGAAAGTCACATAGCAACTCTTCTTCTTCCCCAAAGAACTGGAATTTAGGGAACAAGTCAGTGTGGCAGAAGGCTGACCCTGAATCCGGACTCGGAGTCGCTGGTGAGCACGGACTAATTCCATGTGGCTAAGGTATGGCCTTACCAATAAAAGTCATAAATAAAAGCGGCCGTATTTTGGAAACAGGATTCAAGGTGCTTTGGAATGAAGACAAGGAGGAGCCGAGCCCTGAGCGCTTCCTGCTGAGGTGATGGAGCATCTAATGCGGACACAGAAACCAGAAAGACCAGTTCTAACGCTGCAAAGCCTCACAGTCAATATTTTAACAGTAAACAGCTCAACTGTGTGGTGTTTATACGCTAAGGTATTAGCAGTTATGTATACATGGAGGCCAAAACCCCCTAGTCAGCCGATGCTCCGTTTCAGGCATTGCTTCACCAGAGCGACTGTCCTAAAACCAGGTGGAAATCCAGACACGGCAAGGAGAGCACTGCAGACTCGTTACCACTCACCAGAAAACAAAGCAAAGGCAAACTCTGAGCTCCTCTGGTCTGAAAGGCCGGTTGCACTCAGGAGGTTCTGCACCTAAGTTCTCTGTGGCTACAGGCAGGCACAACTGTACAACACAAGCCCAAGGAGGCCGCCTGAACCTTGCGGGGCAGGCGCACGAGGGGCTGGTCCGGCTTTTCCTAACAGCCGGCTGCTCCTCAGCCCTCCTGAGTCACACAGGGGTCCCGCGGCTTCCAGGAGAGCTTGTTAAAGATGGCTCCTGAGGGCAGAGACCACCGAAAATGGGGCCGTCTGCTGAGATCCTCCCCTGGAGGCTTCTCATGTTGCACTGAGTAACTTACCTGTGACCCCCAGACTCTCCGTGTCCAACAGGGGCGACAGAGGGCTCGAATCCAATACTAACAGTCTCCCGGAGCCTAGCAGCTTCCCAACTTTACCTTCCAACCCTCCCATCTCTGTCCAGCACTCCCTCCTGCCGTGAAACAAGACATGATGCTGCTCAGGGGCAGGAGGCCGCCTGAGGCAGCGGGGCCGGTGGCTGGCACCTACACATCACCCACACAACCACGGGCCAGGTACCAGAGTCAGCTCCAACCCCCAGGACAGGGAGAGACGCGAGCCAATAGGCAGGAGACAGGGAGTCAAGCACGTGACTCGTGATGAGTGTGTCGGGGGGGAAGACGGGAACCACAGGAGCAGGGCTCTGCATCTGTACGGCGGACACTACCTGGTAGGCCCTGGAGAGCCACTCATCTTTAAGTGGAGGATAACACGAGTGCATCTGTCTGACACACAGATAAGCCTGTGAGAACACAGCAGGGGTAAGCGTGTCAGGTGGGTCACTGCGGGAGGGCTGTCCACACAGTGGGTACTTTAAAAACAGCTGCTGGATTTACATGTAAATAAGTGACATGTGAAGGCTGTGTGGGGAAGCCTACCACCTTCTGATCCTACCTTAGAGGGAAAAAGAAATCAGAGGCAGGGCACCGTTTAACAAGGCACCAGCAGTAGTGCACCCAGAAAGCTCTTCTTTCTCGCGAACACAGGGTCACCACGAGAGACGACAGGTGCTGCCCCGAGGGTAACACTGAGGCCTGCGTGGGCAGTCGTTACATGGCTCCTGCCCTCAGCAAGCGAGATGAAAATTCCATTTCTCCTGTACACGTTCTTATCCAATGTCGTTTTTACGCCACATCTTTAATCCAGGCAAAAGTAAACTGTGTTGAGATGCACTCCTAGAATTTAAATGGACACTTGCAAGGAACAAAAGCGGAAGAGAGTAAAATGAAATAAGTGAGAAACTGGCAAGGGCCGCCTGTCATAGGATTGGGCCAGCTGCAGCACCCTGTAACATCACTAAAATACCCACAATACCCTGTGGAACAACTGCAGGTTTTCTGTACTCACCACACATAGAAACAAAATCTCCACCCGGCCAAAGTCAGTGGCTTTCTCGGGCGTGCTGGGTCCGGCAGGACTGATAGGCCTGCCAACCATAACCTTCTGATCTGCAGCCCCCGCAGGTGCAGGGCATGAGGAGACAGCCTCTGAACACACACCTAACTTCCAACTCCATCCTGACCTACACATAAGGTTCAGAATGGATGACCACAGATAACAAACAGGAAAAACAATTCCTACTAGAGTGCTTTGTGGCTCACAGAAAGGACCCAAGAACAGAGGAAAGAAGAGAACATGCAGCTTGGTCTGAAGTCAAGTTTTCCTTCACGAAAAACTATGTGACAGAGGAAATACCTATGGGAGCAGCACAGCCCACGTACGGCTGGCAGGATGAAGCCTGCTATTCCCACAGTGTTACCACCCGCAATGTCCACTCCAGACCGCCTCCTTGGTCCTGACCCCTCTCCAGACTCAGAGCCACCTGAACACATGCAGACGTCCTATGGCTTCGAAGCTGCACTCATCTCCCCCGCCCTGTCACCTCATCTCAGGCAGCTCTTGCAGTCTCGAGTGATCCAGTCAGAAGGAAGGTGGCTCCAGGGTCCACGACCACCATGAGGTCTGCCATTATGTTTACAAGTACAAAACTGCAGAAAGGGCCCAGGACTGAAAGAATGGTAAAAGGCTAATCTTTACAAAAAAATGTAGTAAGGTAATTCTAACCATAATTCCAC